TTTTGAATGTTTTGCTCATTATGTAACAAAATTTTACTTTGGACATTCAACTAAAATGACAGCATCAGTTGTGACTTGTCCTGGGTTTGGTTGACAGACATGACTGGAATTAGTGAAATGTTTTGGTTTAGACAGAGAATCACCAAATGTTGGAGGTTAAGTGACCTTGCAGATGACCTAATCCAAATTTCCAAAGGGTTTAACCAACATCACGCAGTTAATTGTTTGGAATCTCCACTTCCCTGGCCATATGCACACATAATTCTGTTTGCTAGAGCTGAAATAGTTCACTCCTGCCAGCTCTAGAGGTCAGTTGTTGGAGGTGAAAGGGATTAAAAACCTGAGGCAGGTGGGGCATGGTGATTTATGCCTGTAATCTCACCACTTTGAGAGGCCAAGGTGGGTGGATCAACTTGAGGCCAGGCATTTGAGACCAGCCTGGCCAACATGGTGAAACCCTGTCTCTACTAAAAATACAAAAATTAGCTGGGCATGGTGGCACACACCTGTATTCCAAGCTACTTGGGAGGTTGAGGCACCAGAATCGCTTGTGCCTGGGAGGTGGAGGTTGCAGTGAGCCAAGAGCGTGCCACTGCACTCCAGCCTGGGCAAGAGAGCCAGACACTGTCTCAAAAACAAGCAAACAAAAAAATACCTGAGACAGTGAGATTCTAACTTGTGAATGGTTGTGGTAAGCTAAGCAATACCTAAGTGTTCCTGGACCAAACCAAGGGTCAGGCTGCTTATTCTCATGGCCCAATAATGAAATGCAGAGGAATTGAGAAAGGAGGGAGTTTATTTCTGTAACCAGGGAGAAGGCCTGGAAATTATCTCCAGACCAACTCAAAATTACAAAGTTTTCCAGAGCTTATATACATTCTAAGCTATATATCTACATGTAAGTGTTCATTCATCTGAAGACAAAAGTGATTGACTTCTTTTAATCTATAACAAAGGCCTGAGTCCTGAAGACCTTCCTCTGGAGCCTCAGTAAATTTACCTAATCTAAATGGGTCCAGGTGCTGGGGTGGTTACCCTTGTCTCTTGCTAAATCACAGAAGTCTGGGGACTTCCTTCAGACCCCCAAAAAACTTGTTTGTGGAGGCCTAGGGAGTTTCCTTTAGACCCCCAATAAAACTTCTTTAATCCTAGACAGGTCCTGTTAAGACTTCCTTCATTATCTTGTCATGCTTCAAGGTCCAGGAAAGGCCTGGGCAAAACTCTTGGTGGGCTTTTGTTACACTCCAGCCTTTATATAAGGGCATTGGCTCTTTCAGCTTTTAGTATGTAACTTAACCACTCAGTCAGTGCTCAAACAGTTGTTATGGAGACCTGCGTTAGTGAGACCTGGCCTGCCACATAAGTGCTACAAGAGCTTGCTATAAAGTAAATATTCATGTTTTGAAGTGCATCCTCAAGCTTAAAGCAAAATTTCACATTTATTATATTTATTGTGTTAAAAAAAAAAAACAACTCTACAATAACACAATAAACTTGCATTTGGCTCATTGCACCAACACATCACCTTGGTATTTATTGAATCATTTGTCTAAAGTGATGTCTTTCTGGGAGAGCTCCAAGCTTCACAAGATGTTTAAAATAAGTCCTTCCTCTAAATTGAGAGCAAATGGCTTTTGACAAATTGAATTTCAACATGAGACAGATAATAATGCACTTCAGTAACTATGGTTCTCTTTAACATGAATGTGGAACGGCTAAGGGCTTGAATGATTAGTTTTTCCCTTAGTAACTATTTGTCTTCAAGAATGTGCCCTAAGTCCTGTTGCGCATATGCCAAATTTCCAAGTGTTAAAGTGGTCATATTTGTTAAGCTGTGGCCAACTAGACAATAGACTACAGCAGGACTCTACTGTGTTCCGTCATGATTTCTCAAAATTAGCTGCAGAAGTAAAGGGACCTACAGTCTAGCTCTGATTGTGGAATCAAGGACTGAAGGCACCCTCGGACCTTTCACTTTATCCTTTGCCAAAAGGTGGAAGACAATAGAATGGATTCATTTGCATTTCTACTTCTCTCCTCTCTTTGAAGTGATAAACATCAGTAAAATGCATTCAAAATTAACAAATGAACAGATTAGATATGGAAAATCTAGAGTATGGATTGTCAGTACAAGAAGAATGGCAGTAAGCCCAATACTTAAAATGCCCAAAGATATATTAGCAACAGTGTGACCTCCCAAAAAATACCTTGGTTCATTATGATAAGAGCACAGGAATGGATGGGATCTGACCACTGATTTTTCAGGAATATTTTAGTGGCAGAATATGGTACATGTTACCCTGCCATTGGCCTCTGAGGGTTGGCATTCAAGGTGAGCATTCCCAACTTGCCTTTAAAACCATCTGAATCTATTAGCCAGGGATTTATCTAAATCTTCTCAAGGGAGTTTCTAACTTTAGCCTTCACAGCCTCTTAGAGGAGTTAAAGAGGACCTTTATTTTTCTGTTGTGATTCACTGATCCATATTTTTAAAGGAAATTCTGAAGTACTCTCAAGTAGAAAGTATTTAACCTAGTTCTAAGAAAAAAAAAAAGTATAAAATACTAATTAAGTTAAAGGTCCGTAAATCTTTATTTACTCTGCAACACATTCTGAAATGCATTATACTATTGTTTCACTTTATAGCAATTTAAGGAGGAAAGATGGAAGTTGGAAGAAGAGGAAGAAGAAAACAATGAAAGATGTAAAGGGGCCAGGCACAGTGGCTCTCAGCACTTTGGGAGGCTGAGGCAGGTGGATCACAAGACCAGCCCGGGCAACAGGGTGAAACCCCGTCTCTACGAAAAATACAAAAAAAAATTAGCCAAGCGTGGTGGTGCATACCTGTAGTCCCAGCTACTCAGGTGGCTGAGGTCAAGGCCAGAGGATCGCTTGAGCCTGGGAGGCAGAGGTTGCAGTGAGCCAGTGAGCCGAGACTGCACCACTGCACTCCAGCCTGGATGACACAGCAAGACCTTTCCCCCTCTCCCCACCCCCCACCCAAAAAAAAAAAAAAAAAAAAAAAAAACGTAAAGAGGAGAAGGGAGGAAGTGAAAGGAGAATAACCCAGAAGTGGAGAAATTTAGAGAGTAAACTAATTTTTTAACACTCTAATGTGTACTGAGCTGTGTGGCGTTAAAGTATCTAATCACTGCCCTTTGAAATGTTTACTAGATGTTCAATCTCTAAATGAAACAGTCACTGTCAGAATATGTTTCCCAGAGCTACATATGATAACTGAAACCAATGACACCTGCCAAGGTCACTGGCAAAGGTCAGATGAAACCAAGCCAGACCTAAACTAGGTAAGAGAGGTCTCCTTCTCCACCAAAAATTGAGTATGCTAAATACACAATTTAACTAAGCAAAGAAGCACTTCCTTTGCATTACCCTCAAATCTTCATCCTTCTGCTTGCCCCATACATCTAGAACACTGGGGTTTGGTGAGAAAATCCCCACTTGGGCTGTCTATGTCCTGTATGGCTTTACAGATATTCCACATACCTGTCCTTGGCCTTTGTCCTTCCAGACTGCAGTTCTGGGTTATTTCATTTATTTAGTGATGTCTGTGTGCCACGTAATTTTTATCACAGCTGCGAAGTAGCTATAATTGTTGGCTTTATTCAACAGATCTGTACTTTGAGACAGAGAGGTTAAATAACTTGCCCAAGGTCACCCAATAAGTAGTAAAGCCAGGGTCAGAGCTCAGATTGCCTGACTCTAAAACCCAGTCACTAGTCCTCTCCTTACTTCATTCTAAGCTCTTCCTCTTTTCTTCCACGTCTGACATCATGCCACCTGGAATGTCAGCCCTGCAGTGAAATCATCAGGGATGTTCTTCAAACTCTTCTTTATGAAACCTTCCTGCACTCTTTGAAGTTAGTGTGTATATCCTTTTCCACATGATGCTGGCCAGAAGTCCACACATCTGAGGACAAAGGCCATACTGACTTGGTTCTGATGTCAGTGCTTGCCACGTGAATAGTATCCGTTCTTAGAAGAAGCATTGTTGTACTGAGTGCCATGTTCTCTCTCCAGGTGTCGGTCTGAGTTTATTTTTAATTGTAGAATGAAATTCCTAGAGATCATCAATTCTGTCTAGCTTATGTGGCATGTGAGACAATTCCCTTAACAAAGCACAAACCAGGTGGTTAAGAGAGAAAAATTACAGATAACTAAGAGAGGAAAGATAATTACTCCCCGCAAAAACTATTCCAGCCATACGTGGCCCTCATCCAAATGGTGGATGCCTATACACATGTTCCTAAGAACAATGAGCATGGAGGGGGAATGGAATTTAAATGTACATTAGGCTTCTAAGTGAAGTGTTTGTGTTAGTTAGGGAATTTTAAGTTGTAAAATTACCTTCTTATAATCTTCTTGGAAGAACTTGGAGCATTCCATATTAGTAAAAGAATCACCAACCCATCTGTCTCCCAGCTGCCTAAGCAACTAAGAGGATTTGCTGACTTGAACTTTTCTCTTTTCCAGATCCTGGCCATCGTGTCTATCCTGTTCATCGTGCTTTCCACTATTGCTTTGTCTCTCAACACACTGCCGGAGCTGCAGGAAACGGATGAATTTGGACAACTCAATGACAACCGCCAATTAGCACATGTGGAGGCTGTGTGTATTGCGTGGTTTACCATGGAGTACCTTTTGCGATTCTTATCCTCACCAAATAAATGGAAGTTCTTCAAAGGCCCACTGAATGTCATTGATTTGCTGGCCATCTTGCCGTACTATGTCACCATTTTTCTCACGGAGTCCAACAAGAGCGTGCTACAGTTCCAAAACGTGAGGCGCGTGGTCCAGATCTTCCGAATCATGCGCATCCTCAGGATCCTGAAACTCGCCAGGCATTCGACAGGCCTACAGTCTCTGGGTTTCACTCTTAGGCGGAGTTACAATGAACTGGGCTTGTTGATATTGTTTCTGGCCATGGGGATAATGATATTTTCCAGCCTGGTATTTTTTGCTGAGAAGGATGAAGATGCTACCAAGTTCACCAGTATCCCTGCATCATTTTGGTGGGCCACCATCACCATGACCACTGTCGGCTATGGTGACATTTACCCTAAGACATTACTAGGGAAAATCGTGGGAGGCCTGTGCTGTATTGCTGGGGTTCTGGTTATTGCCCTTCCTATCCCAATTATTGTGAACAATTTTTCTGAGTTTTACAAGGAGCAGAAACGCCAAGAGAAAGCAATTAAAAGGAGGGAGGCCCTTGAGCGGGCCAAAAGGAATGGAAGCATCGTTTCTATGAACTTAAAAGATGCCTTCGCGCGAAGTATGGAACTGATAGATGTGGCTGTGGAGAAGGCCGGAGAGTCCGCCAACACGAAGGACTCCGCCGACGATAATCACCTGTCGCCAAGCAGGTGGAAGTGGGCCAGGAAGGCTCTGTCGGAAACAAGCTCCAACAAGTCTTTCGAGAATAAGTACCAGGAGGTTAGCCAAAAAGACTCCCACGAGCAGCTGAACAACACGTCTTCCTCCAGCCCACAGCATCTGAGTGCCCAGAAACTGGAGATGCTGTACAATGAAATCACCAAGACACAGCCTCATTCTCACCCAAACACAGACTGCCAAGAAAAGCCTGAGAGGCCATCTGCATATGAAGAAGAGATTGAAATGGAAGAAGTGGTGTGTCCACAGGAGCAGCTGGCCGTGGCACAGACCGAGGTCATTGTGGACATGAAGAGCACCTCCAGCATCGACAGCTTCACCAGCTGTGCCACTGACTTCACAGAGACAGAGAGATCGCCCCTGCCGCCGCCCTCCGCCTCTCACTTGCAGATGAAGTTCCCAACAGACCTCCCAGGGACAGAAGAGCACCAAAGAGCTAGGGGCCCCCCGTTTCTAACTCTATCCAGAGAGAAAGGGCCTGCTGCCAGGGATGGCATGCTGGAGTATGCCCCAGTCGATATAACTGTGAACCTCGATGCCAGTGGCTCCCAATGTGGGCTACATAGTCCTTTGCAGTCTGACAATGCCACCGACAGTCCTAAGAGCTCTCTAAAAGGCAGCAAGCCACTAAAGTCCAGATCCCTCAAAGTGAACTTTAAGGAAAATAGAGGCAGTGCGCCACAGACCCCACCCAGCACAGCCAGGCCACTGCCAGTCACAGCAGCTGACTTTTCGTTCACCACCCCGCAGCACATCAGTACCATCCTCTTAGAAGAAACCCCCTCCCAGGGAGACAGACCCTTGCTGGGTGCTGAGGTTTCAGCACCTTGTCAGGGACCTTCCAAAGGGCTGTCTCCCAGGTTTCCCAAGCAGAAACTGTTCCCTTTCTCTTCAAGAGAGAGGAGGAGCTTCACTGAAATAGATACTGGTGAAGACGAAGACTTCTTAGAGCTCCCAGGGGCAAGGGAGGAGAAGCAGGGGGACTCCAGCCCAAATTGCTTTGCAGATAAGCCTAGTGATGGGAGAGACCCTTTAAGAGAAGAGGGCAGTGTGGACTCTTCCTCCCCGCAGGACACAGGTCACAACTGTAGGCAAGACATTTACCATGCTGTGAGTGAAGTCAAAAAGGACAGTCAAGAAGGGTGCAAGATGGAAAACCACTTGTTTGCCCCAGAAATTCATTCCAACCCAGGAGACACAGGTTATTGTCCCACACGTGAAACCAGCATGTGACTAGTTACAAAAGCAATAAATTAAAAAAAAAACAAAAAACAAAAAAAACTTGTTTCTTAAAAATGAGGTTAATAATGCCTGTGAACTAAAAAAATGGGAAGCCCTCCCCAAAAAAAGTGCATAAAATGTTATTTTTGCATGGCATGAACAGTTTAGCTTAAATACTGTTTAAATAAAGAGTCAAGACTGAATTTTGTAACAAACCAACAAAAATGACTGAAGAACAGTGAACAAATAAAAAGAGCTCTATTAGGAACCAGTATTCTGCAATGTCTGACATTTTTGATCCTTTCATTTCAAATTGTAGGCCGATTTTCAAGTCTTAACATTTATGTTACAATGAAGCTTAGAATTTTCATATGAAAGGATGAAATGTCATTGCATGCATTCATAATTATGAGGAATAAGGTACTGTGAGCTTGCAAAATGCATAACTTTGTAAATAATGGGGCCTGGATGCAAAAGTGTCATGAACACATGGAAACAAGTTTCTGAGACACAGGTATTTCCTTCACAGCTACTGCCTGGAGGAGCTGTACAGACTTCCTGTTGCAAAATTGCAACCTCTCCTTAAACCATCTCGCATATCTTGCTTTGACTTATAAAGCTCTTATAAGTACATTTGTTTAAAGGAATACAGTATTTTTTATTTATTTGTGATATAATTCATAGGCTGCATTTTACTTTTTTGCTTCTGCTTAGTTGTGGCATTTGTGGTTCATTTATAAATCATAGACATGGGCAAGATTTAATGACCAGATATCAAAATATTTGAAATTTTGCCAATAAGTTATATATCATGCCACACCCGATTACAGGAATGCATTTTTAAAAAACCTGAAATTATTTAAAAGGTTATATCATACAATTAAATGTTTTTAATGGCAGTCTACATTTGGAAATTAGTTCTTTTAAGAAATGCATTTTGGCCACCTAAAGATGACTGTATTTTCCACTTGTATCCAATATAACATAACCTTTTCTAACTAAAGTTCTAAAAATAGAATACAGATATGCCAAAATGGAAATTCCAAAAAGTGACCTGACAAACTAAAAGCAGAGTCATTTAAGTGAGATTGCCACCGCCACTCATAGAGTTGGCTGGGAAATGAGTTGCTACGAAAAGAACCCAGGCGTGGTAACGGGTCACCCTATATTTCTCAACATGGGATGTGAGGTGGGGGGACACCGCAATGTGTGGGAGGAAGTTGTTCCTTTTGCTGGATATGAATTACAGAACCCAGAGCACAGATGGCAGTCACACCCTCCTATAATTACAGCAACTAGAAACACCCCCTTGCATTTCCAACCTTTTCAGGGGGTGATTGGGACTCTCTTTGTTCAAAATGACTTTCAGAGATTTTTACTCTGAACGGTGAAATCCAGAGCAGTGAAGGCACTGACCAGAGATTGCCTGTTGGTGAAGTCTGTGCTAGAACCCAGCTCATCTTAATTCACGTTGCTTCACAGGAATCGAGGCTCTGGTCGAAATTTGCAACCACCAGATGAGTGATTCTAGGCAAGCCTGTACAACCTCTCTTGGTCTCAGTTTTGCCCCAGTAAAAATCAAGACAAAATTGTTTCCAAGGTCCCATAAGACTTTAATATGATTCCTTGGTCTCCCAGGAAGGTCCAGATTTTGCCTCAGCACTTTGTACCCGTCTGTGTGTGTGTGCGCGCGCGTGTGTACAATTCAGGGAAATAGGAAGATGCTGGGCCAAATTTCAAGCACAATATATTGTTTAAAGAAAAAATTCTAAATTTTATTTTATTTTTAAAAGGAAAAAATAGCCCAAATATTTAGACTCTTATTTAAGACTTTAAAGAAAAACATTTCTTCATTAACAGAATCTGGTCATTATATCTCAGATAAGAAAACAAGTTTTGATCTTAGTTGAAACACAAGCAGACCTACTGCTAAAAATAATTTTAAACATTTCTTTTTTCACCGTGCTTAGAATTTCTTAGTGATTTTCATCTTAGTGATTTTAGTGTATCATGTTTCAAAACATAACCTTTAAGAGTTTATGGTCATTAATCGTTGATATTTACATTACTCATGCTTATTTCAGTGTCTAAAGCTAAATATTGATCAGTTTTGTAAATAGAGTGTTTGAATTTTCTATCTATAGTTTTTCAAGGTCAAACAAGTATATCTGCTGTTGGATGAATAGCAAATAATTTATGAAAATCATTTTATTTACATAGCCTCATAAAGCAATTATTTTCAAACGTCTCTTATTGATGAATCTCAACTCTTTTTATTCATCTTTCTGTATAAGTGGACTTGTCTTAATGCGCTAAGAGTTGACTGATGCCCACCTTTCCTATGTCTGTTAGGCCCTCTGCTGAGAACACTGCTCCAGAATGTTTAATATTAGAAAGCTTGCCTAGTCAAAGAATCCTAGACATTCCTCCCTAGAAGCATCCTCCCCAAAATCTTTTTTCTCTTCATTCTAAGGTACTTTTTTAAGTTTTAGAGAATTTTCTAGTACAACCCATGGAAAGCCTATCCTTCCATTTTTCTTAGTTCCTCTGAGCCAAAAGTCTTCAGCTAGGGAAAAAAGAAAATGCTCCTCTAAAAAACATCTTTGACTTCAGTGTTTCACAAGGAGGCAGTGTGGGGACTGAAGGCTCCCAGGATGCACTTGTGTAGCACTTCCTAAGCCTTTTCCACGAACTGCACGTAACGCAGAGAATAAACATGTGTGCCTGGAATGGTCTGGGAATGTCCCAAGCACAGAGTTCTTTTGAAGTCTTATGTTTTACACTAAAAATTCATGTAAATGCTGCATTTTACTTTATAATTTTATATATTCCATGTGTTTAAATATTTTTAAAATAATGTTTTATATTATTTACCAACTAGTAAAATGGATACTTGTATAACTTTAAATACATCTTTTGTATCCCCTGGAAAAATAGATCCCCAGTTTGAGATGTACTGCATGAATGGCAGGAACAGAGACTGGTTCCCTGAGGGCCACTGGAGGTTTCTGCTGCTGAGAGCGCTCACCCCTTGTTACAAGTGAGAATTATCTGAATGACTACAAAATAACTCAGTTCCACATATGGCTAATTTGATCTAATTTGATTCTTCTGACTCTCTTAACAACCAGCACAAATTGCCACAATATTGTTTGAGGTCAAAGATTGAGTCCAATCCTACGAGGATAGAAATGGGTGCATCAACGTGTGTCCTGAGTCAGACCACACACACAAGGATGATATGCTAAGTGGGTGCCTGGAATTGACTTGATTCATCTCTAAACATTTTTACTAGAAATTTCTCTACTGTGACACAACCAGCTGCTTTGAAGCAAGCATTTGATCAAGTATTATCCTGATATAACTAGATTTGGTAACAAGGAGAATATGTGCCAAGTGTCTTCCCATTAATTTCTTCTCAAAACAGTCTCACTCTCCTATAGACACTGGCCTAGGAGAGTCAACAATTCAACTATTTTCTCTTGAAATTTGAATAGGAAAAAAAAAAGCCATATGTATACAGAGTACTTATAGTTTCTTATCCCACAACAGCCTTTTGAATATTCAGTAAAGGACCAGCGGGGTTATACATTTTGCTCAATTTCACACCCGTCCCTGGTGAATAGAACTTGGCCTCATCCACGTCATCTGGCTTCAAGTCTGGCATTCCAATATACTACAGGAAAGTATGTTTAGTTAGGCTTGATTTTTTTTTCTAATAATATCAAAAATATGTAAATAAAACTGGAGGTGTATTTATAGTCACACAGTTTCTTTAAAGCTACAGTAGATGATGCCAAATGGTAAAAACATGAGAGAACTGGCATTGACCATCTTTTGCATATATGTTTCCCAATTTGGAATTTTGACCGTAAGATATACATTCCTTGGTTAAATAATTCATTGTTCATGATATCACATGACATACTCATTAAGCAGAGGGTGGCAGAAGACACTTAATCTGAAACAAAAGCAAATAGAACTTTAGAAATACTTCTAAGTTCAAAAATATTGTCTAATTAAATTTGATAGTCATTTCACTGTTCATTCATTCAAATACTAGTTGAGCATCCCGGTATGGTGCTAGGGTACAACCCCTGGCTTCATGGAGCTTACTGCCTGGCCCACTTAAAACCAAGCTGAGGATTTGGGTTACTGAAAAATGTCTTTTCTGAGGATGGAAAAACCATTCAATTATCAAGCCAGGGAAGCACACAACAGAAACAAATGAAGTGATTTTCCAAAGAACTGTTTTCCTAAAAAGTAGATGGATGGCATAGTCTAATCTGTAATTATTTTAGAATCACAGTTTAGATTTCACACTTGAAATAACAAATTGTTCGTCTGAGTGAGGTTATGTGTTGTCTTTCCTTATTATCTGATACAATGAAAAATAAATTTTTATTAGATATATTGCTTGTCAAAATAGCTAATTATAGTCTGTAACAAATCACTAGAGCAAAATTTAATACTAGTGGAAAAGTCTGTTTAAAAGTTTATGTTTTAATAGTGTGTTTGATGGTTATATTATTAAAAGCAAAGCATTTTAATGCTTTTTCTTCCTATTAACTATTGGCAACATTTTAGGGATCTATCATTAATCATTGCTTAGTCCTCTAAATTCCTAAATGAAAGATTTTTAAAATTCAATATTTAAAAACTACTTAGTTTGACTCAAGGTATTTATTCTCTAGATCCATATGGATTCTGCCACTGCACTGCCCTCCCCCAAAACAGAACAAAAAAGAAGAAGAAGAAAAGAGAGAAAGTAAAAGAAAGCCCATCCCTACTAAGAAAGAGGAAAGGTCCCAACTCCAAAATCTTGGTGAACACTTCATATTATTCAGTTTAGTATTTATTGTGACGTAGTGACATAAATGCTATCCTTTAGTGGTTTCAATGACCATTTCTTCTACTTGCCTTTTTAAAACAGCCTAACTTAATTGTATAAATCCTTATTTACCATAATCTCTTCCTTGTTAAGTCTAAAAGGATTTTAACCTGTAAATACACATATAAATAAAGGGAAGTGGGGGATTGTCTTTAATAATAAGGTCACCCAAGGCCAGCCAAAGATATAAGTACAGAAAAAAAAGAAGAAAGACTAAGAAAAATGTAAGGAAATTTAAATATGTTTTTAAGCAGAGAAATTTATATTAGGTATAGGCATGCACTTGCATAAAATTTAGACTAAATACTTATTATTTATAGGAAATTTAGAATTCAGGCCATAATTCCAATTCTACTTTCTCTCCTGAAGAA